TCTCCACACAAGTGTCCTGCTCCTCGGGGCTCTCACAGAACCGTTATTATGGTCGGAAAGGACCTTCCAGATCATCAGGTCCGTCGTGCGTCTCCCTCGTGCTCTGGTTGTGTTACAGGCCGGTCCTGCCTTGGGTGCCCAGCGGTGTTGGGAACCTACGTGGTGGTTTTGGCCTTGAGTTGGCCCTCCTGAAGTGATTCCCCCAGGCTAAGGTTGGCCAACTGTGCCAAGCTGCGAATCACATACCTGTCTTTTGGGTGAGATGTTGAAGAAAACCTCTGGAAAACCCAGGGAAAAAAAAAAAGAGCATGTTAGAACGGGCAGGAAATGTCCACATTTGAAGGCTGATGGATGCTCCCCCAAGGTGGAAAAGCAGTGAATCACCTGGCGCTGCTTCAGAGCAATATCCTCAAAACCTCCGCCGTGGCTTCTGTTCCCTGCCTCTTTGATCTGCTTTACCCTAAATTTATATATACATTACTATATATACATATATATAGGAGAGACAAAAAGACTTGAGGGGGATTCAAAGTCACCTGGCAAATGCGCCCATCTCCTCTCTGCCTTGCTGCAGCGCAGCTAGGCTGGACTCGCTCTTGGTACAGACCCATGAGAAGTGGAGGCAGCAGGAGGCCGGCAGAGCCTCCCTGTCCCCAGGGCTGGCAAAGCCCCTCCGGAGTTGCTGGAGTTGCTGGGGACTCGCAGCAGCTCTCTCAGTAATGAGCTGATGGCCTTTAGGTACAGACAGCTTTATTTCTGACATCGAGCGCGGCTCCAGAAACACATCAGCATCCCATTATTTTGCTTAATGCCTCCAGAGAAAAAGTACCATTACTTTTCAAGCTTAATAACCATCAATTTTCTGTTTGGGAGGGAGGAGGGTTATATTCATAAAAATAGCAAGTGCAACTGTTGTAAAATCTGACAATTTCTCCATGCTTTCTCCCTAATGAAAATACTTTCCACCACTTTCTTCTGCCCTTGGCAGTTTTTGCTCATGGTCTGTAAGTTAACCCTGTTGACAAAAATGGGAGGCTGATGCACTAGTGCTGAAGTGAGACCATAGCCACAAACAGAGGCTACAGCCCAGGCGAAAAGGCTTCTTTGTGGCGGCTCCCCGGCTGGAGAGGGGGTGTCGGGTGCTGTCTGTACTGGGCACTACAGCCGGGCTCCCGCAGGTCGCCCTGTCTCCGTCGGTGTAGGTGACTCGCAAACCCCATCCCTGGCTCCTCATGCGTGTGCATGTTTCTGGAGGAGAAGGCAGGCGGCAGCAGCCGGCAGCTCCTCCGCCCGCCCTTCCTCCTCTCCCTTCAGCCTACGCAGTGATTACCTGTCTGCAAAGCTTTGCCTGCTGACAAGCCCAGCGCTGGCTGCGGGGTCTGGCTGGGCCAGCAAGCCAAGCTACTGCCGAACCACTTGGGTCTCCAGGACTGCTGTTGGGATGGTGGAGCTGTAGAAGAGATCTTTGGAGGTCTGCAGTGCCCCACGGCCCAAAGCCAGCTTTGGAGTGGGTTGTTCAGGGACCATCCAGGTGAGTTCTCAGTCTCTCCAAGGATGGAGAATACACAGCCTCTCTGGGCAGCCTGTGCTGTTTACCCTCCAGGTGACAAGGTTTAATTGCTATATCCAGTGAGAACTGCCTAATCACAGGTTGTATCTGTTGCCTGTCTTTCCACTGTTCTCGTTTGAGAAGGGTCTGTGTCCAGCTTCTCTGCAGGCCCTTCTCCAGGCTGAGCAAACCTGGCTGCCCCCAGCATCCTTTGACCGCCCCCCCGCAGCTCTCTCATATGCACCTCTAGAGGAGCATATAGGGAGCAACGCTGAGCGTGTGACCCCAAAGAGGAGAATAAACTTTATTTCCTGCCGCCAGCATCCCGCCTATGGAAGCGTTGCGGGCCGGGGCACAGCTGGCTCTTCCGCAAGGAGAGCTCCGCACGCGGAGGCGGTCGGAGGAGGCAGAGTGGCTGGCTGGGGGCCATGCCTCCCCCGCCGCCCGAGCCTGCTGCTCCGGAGCAGGCGCCACGAGCGGGGCAGAGCCTGCCCTACACGCTGTTACAATAGGGCGAGTTTTCTTTCCTCAATCTCCTAGGGTGAA